CGTATTTCACAAATGTAGTCTAGTAGACTAGACTACTTAATAGGTTTTTAATGGTGTCCCTCAGTGTCACATTCAATCTGCTCTAATATTATGAAATGAATGAGATGCTTTAATTCTCATTTATGTTAATGTGATTTTAATAGGTTTTTAGACTATAAGAAGGGTGTACCTTATGTACAGGACTCAGTTCAAATTTGTCCGTCACGTATTGCCGTTCGTCATTTATGTATAGTTTTACCAGAACACACACTCAACAAATATTCCAAATTTTATTTCACTTGTTTCTGGCATAATAAAATTTTATATCATAGTGTTAAATATATTGTGTAACTTGTTAAATTTCAGTTTTGGATTTCAATTCCTTTACCTATCCCACACACTTAATGAGTTTTTCATCAAAATTATAAAATTTTTAAATATAAGCATTGTTAAATTTATTTTGACATATTCGTATTCCTCAGAATTTCACGATTATGAGCATATGTTGTTCAAATAATACATGTTAATATTCAAAACTTTTATAATTTTTGGTATAATCTATGAAACCTTTACGATGTGTTTTAAACCGATTCAACCCAAAAGGTGCTGACATCAAAGATTTTCTTCTTGATTTTGATTCTCCAGTATAACCACATGGTTATAGCTCGGTCGTGGCTGGTAAGATAAGGAACCCTACTTTCCCTTACAGGACAGTAATTAAACGGTCATCTACCATTTTATATAAACAATAATAGAAAAAAACCCTCAACCGAAGGCTGTTTTTGACGAAACAAATTGCAGGTAGAAACCCTCGAGAACCCTCATTATCAATGCAAAGATGTATATGTATAATATATCTGTGGTTGAAAGACATAACAGCATAACTGACATTTTTATCAAATTTGAGATAACACCAGATTCTAGTACATTTAGTAATGCTTTCCAAAGATTCATAGTTAAAAAATCATTTATGTAACTATTTAAGTAGAAAATGATGAAAAACCTAATTGCATAACTGCACTTTTGGCAATAGGCGATAGGCATAAGCGCATAACTGCATTCAGAATAAAAAACAATTGACGTAATCTACAAAATTAAAGTAATATTTTAAAATAAAAATATTATTTATTTATTTATTATTTATTTTTATCTTATAATAAGGAATTTCAGAAAAAATAAAATTTTTTATTAGTTTGACTAATTTTTCGATTTTCTCTTTTCATCAATTCTTTTGAATCACAGGTATCTTCATTCTTCTCGATATCTTCACAAAAAATATTAAATTTGAGAAATTACGGAAATGTAAACATAAAACCTAACCAATTTTAAAAGCTATTTTTAAAAAATATTCGTTTGATTTTTTTCATACATACAATAAACATAAATAATAATTTTATTCTTTTGCCTTGATTATAATCATCTCCTTCAGATATATGTGTTTTAGACTCAGATTCGTACGTCGCTATTAAATTCATTTTGACAATTTATTATGACATGAAAAATAGAGTGAAGTTGGTTACATATTTAAACTTGAACAGCATAAACACATAACTGCAAAAAAACTTTCAATTTGACTAAGAATATATTAAACATATGAATTCGTGCGTTTTATTAAATGTGATAAACGTATTTTAAAAATACATTAAATAATGAGACTAAATGCCGAATACCAAACACATCCATTGATTTTCTGATTTGACAGAGCTAAATGAATATTAAAACTCATTTTTCTCAAAATCGTGACAAATGCAGTTGTGCTGTTATGCTTTTCAACCACAGATATAATCTAAAAATAATGAGAAATTTCAAGTGCTAAGAAAATGTGAATGAATGAATGAAAGAATGAATACAAAGATTATTATTATTATTGAATTATATATATACACTACCGTCCGAAATTGTGCGAACGCTTACACCGCGAGTCATTGAAAAACATACTCGCGTGAAAATAAAGATAACTCTGAGAGAAATTAACGTAGAGACTTTTCCCTTATAGCGTTGGAAAGCTTATTAAATTTCGAAAAAAATGATACCTATTTGAATGAGATTGCTTAAATAGGTTTAAATATATCATGTTACAAAGTTGAAAAAATAATTGTAATTTTTTGCTTATTTCCTACCTTGACTTTAACCTCTTGCATGGTCCAGGAAAATCGACGAAAAAAATTGTCCTTTAACATAATTATTTCTTGAAATCTAAGCTTTCCATTGATTCCAAGAACAATAAAAAATGTTGACGGGTTTGCCAGTAATTGAAAAAAAAGGACGAGCGTGCACGAAAAAAAATTCGACCGTCAATCGCTCGATTTTCCCGTCTCGCTGCCTCTTTCGTTCGTGCGCCAGGGCCGAAACAGAGGATTTTGATTAGGTGCTTTCCGGGCACCATTAATTTCATTATTTTTGCCTTTTTGTGAACATAAATTATTTGTATAACGCGAAAGATATCATAATTGTGTTATAAGTTAATTATACAGTTATTAAAATTAAATAAATGTAATAAAACTTATATATTTTATTATTAAAAAATTCAATTTGGCCAACGAGGTTTTTGATTCTTAATAATAAATTGTTTAATGATTATAAATATATTTCAATTTTTACAAAACTTTAATTGTATAATTATTTTATTTATGATTGATTAAAAAATTAATATCTTTATGTATGTGAAATATTTTTTTCTCTTGCAGTCAATATCAATTTTTCAATTTCTGCTTTATGACTGTTATTATTATTAATTAACTTATAACACAATTATGATATCTTTCGCGTTATACAAATAATTTATGTTCACAAAAAGGCAAAAATAATGAAATTAATGGTGCCCGGAAAGCGCCTAATCAAAATCCTCTGTTTCGGCCCTGGCGCACGAACGAAAGAGGCAGCGAGACGGGAAAATCGAGCGATTGACGGTCGAATTTTTTTTCGTGCACGCTCGTCCTTTTTTTTCAATTACTGGCAAACCCGTCAACATTTTTTATTGTTCTTGGAATCAATGGAAAGCTTAGATTTCAAGAAATAATTATGTTAAAGGACAATTTTTTTCGTCGATTTTCCTGGACCATGCAAGAGGTTAAAGTCAAGGTAGGAAATAAGCAAAAAATTACAATTATTTTTTCAACTTTGTAACATGATATATTTAAACCTATTTAAGCAATCTCATTCAAATAGGTATCATTTTTTTCGAAATTTAATAAGCTTTCCAACGCTATAAGGGAAAAGTCTCTACGTTAATTTCTCTCAGAGTTATCTTTATTTTCACGCGAGTATGTTTTTCAATGACTCGCGGTGTAAGCGTTCGCACAATTTCGGACGGTAGTGTATATATATATATATATATATATATCTTTGCTTTGATAAAGAGGGTTCTCGAAGGTTTCTACCTGCAATTTGTTTCGTCAAAACAGCCTTCGGTTGAGGGTTTGTTTTCTATTATTATGTATGTAAGATGGTCGATGGCCGTTTAATTACTGTCCTGTAAGGCGAATTGGTATCATTAAAACAGAGAACGCCACTCAGACCCTGCGCTGTGCCTGACTTACTCGAGGTCCGAGCTCGGGCCCGACCGGTGGAGTGGGCGTACCGTTTAATTCCCGCTAGTGGAAGTGGTGTATCCATACTTTACTTACCAATGCATATGCCAAATAACGCCACTCACCCCTACCGCTATGTCTCTCTCACGCGAGCTCCTAACATAGGCCCGGGCCGGTAGAGTGGGGATATAACACTTTTCCTCACTGGAGTGGAACGGCTACTAAAGAAAACTTGTAATAGTCACAGGTTATACATATATAAAAAATACTTTCTTTCATTTATTTTTTTTGTATTGAATAAAATTATCATCAAGGATATTCGGATTTAGAGGATAAAATATAATAGTGGATTACATTGGTATTGAATACTTACTATATTGGAAAAAAATATTGATTGTTTGATAATAGTGGATGCTGCATTTTGGAAAATTAAATAGAAAGAAAGCGGCCTGAATATTGTTTTACGGGTTAAATAATAATTCGTGAGCTGAATATTGATTTGAATTTCTTTTGTATTAGATAACATTGGCATTAAATATATTTGAATTTAGAGGATAAAATATGATATTGGATAATATTGGTATTCAATATTTTTGATATCGGAAAAAAATTGATTGTTTGACAATAGTGGAAGCTGGCTTTTGGAAAATTAAATAAATAATTGTTTGTAAGATGAATATTGATTTCAATATCAATTGTTAATTTGAGAGACAAAGAGATTTTAAGACATGAGAAAACTTGATTTATTGGACCAAAAATTAAAAGAACAGAGAAAAATAAGTTGGATGATAATGATTATCGAAATTGATGTAATGTGAAAAAAAGTTATGCAACGCTAATTCACCTATATAAAGGACTATCCTTATTGCATTTGTTGGCTGATTTATAGTTAATGAAATATGTCCTCAAATAGGACAAATCACACGTGCACGATTTTAGACGGTGTTTTTGTAATAAAATAATAAAATTAATTTCAAATTATAAAAATTTTGCCAGCCATACAGTAAGATTTAATAATTTTCAATCGGATCACAAATGAAAATTTCAAAAAAGGTCAAATAACTGAATTATTGAATGAAAAGTAATGTTTAAACTAGGCGTGTGCAGTATTGAAAATCCATAACCGGTTTTTCGAAAAAACTGATTTTAACTTCGGTATTTGGTATTCAAACCGGCACCGGTTTTTTAAAAAATCGGTTTTAATAAAAAACTTGTTTTTTGTAAATATACCGGTTTAAAAAAACGGTTTATTTAAGAAAACCGCTTTTTTTCAAAAAACCGGTATATTTAAAAAGAAAACCGGATTTTTTAAATTAGAATATTTTAGAAACAGGGTTTTTCTTTTAGAAACACAAGAACAAATTTCTTTAAAAACTACAAATAAATTATTAGTAGTACTACAAAACGAAAAATAAACTGAAAATATAATATAAATTATTTTTGAAGAAATAATTAAAGGAAGGTTAGGGTTAAAACATTTACTCAAATCGGTACTTTTTAGAAAAATTAATTTTTTATTATTTGTGCATTAAAACAAATTTTTGTTCATGGATAAAAAAATAAATTCATCAGCATGTTCTCCTGTCAAACATGTTCTCTGATCACTAATAACTCTCCCACCGGCACTAAATACGCGTTCAGATGGAGTGCTGATTGCCGTTATTGCTAAATACTTTCTCGCAAATTTCGGTATGAATAGCGCTTTTTCTACCAAATCAGGAAATTGTCATCAATAGAGACGGGTGGATGTGCTTTATATCGAAGGAGTTATTTTTGAAATTTTTGATCCAGTGTCTCAGTTACAGTTTGCTCTCGATTACCGGACAATTTAGTGAAGGCCGAAGCTAGTCCTGCGTTTTGTTTTTTTGATGGCGGAGATTGCTCTGTGAATCACATTATATTTTAAATATTTGTGAATTTTTATGTATGTAAATAAATTATTTACGTAAAAAGTTAAAAATATTTAGGTACGTACCAGTCGCAATTTAAGCAGGTAATTCATCGCCGAGATCGAGAATTAGCTGAGATTTCACAGAGACGGTGTACTTCTTCTTTAAATCGTTTTTAAATCTTGGATCCAGAAAAGTGAATTCGATGAGGAGATCATGACATTTTCTACCAGTTTGAACATCACTTCTGCTTTGCCTCACTTTCAGACCAAGTTCACCGGAGCTAAGTAAATTCGGGCAATATCTCTTGTATAGTTTTCGCATTATATTTTTCAAAAATTCTCAATCCGGTTGAACAATCTGCATAAAATAGAAAAATCGTTATATTTTATATTTGACTGATTAAGACAAGATATTCTTAAAATCTTTCTTAAAATTATTTTAAGAATATTAAAAAAAATTAATCTTACAAAAATTTATAAATAGATTTAAAGTAGTAGCGTTCGTTACCTGTTCAGTTTCTGCTATAGAATGAAACCTACTGTTTGATGCCGATGCAGTGGTGTTATCACTACTTGTTACGGCTTCCTTAATTCGAGATTCTGCATCAATAATTATTTTTTCAATGAAATACACCACTAGAAGTACGGCACTTGCTGTGACGTAATCTTCTCTAGACTTGGCAGAGGACAATTCCTCTAATGGATCCAGTGTAGCTGAATAAGTCTTCAACAAATGCATTTGCTTCTCGTCTAAGAGTAAGTGCATATATGATCTCCTTTCGTGGTGTGCTAAAAACTGTTTGTGGTAATTTACATCTTCAATTAGAACCTTATTAAACGGTAACTCACTCTACTAGCGAGTAGGAGTAAGTCCTGGGAAGCTTTTCGGTTTCTTCTGGTGTTAATCATTTATAAAAAAGCGTATCGGTTTTTTAGGGTTTCGTGGCCCATGGCCGAAAACCTTATAGTTTCACTTTGGCGTCTGTCTGTCCGTAGTATATTTTGGGCACCACAGCTCCCAAAATCAAATTTTAGGGCATAGATCCCAAATTAAAATTTTGGGGCACCACAGATCCTAAATTCAAATTTTGGGGCCCCACAGATCCCAAATTAAACTTTTGGGGCACCACAGATCCCAAAATCGAATTTTGGGGCCCCACAGATCCCAAATTCAAATTTAGGGGCCCCACAGATCCCAAATTAAACTTTTGGGGCACCACAGATCCCAAATTCGAATTTTGGGGGCACCAGAGATCCCAAATTCGAATTTTGTGGCACCATAGCTCCCCAATTCGAATTTTTGGGCCCCACAGATCCCAAATTCGAATTTTGGGCAAACATAGCTTCCAAATTCGAATTTTGGGGCACCACAGATCTCAAATTCAAATTTTGGGGCACCATAGCTCCCAAATTGAAATTTTGGGCAAACATAGCTTCCAAATTCGAATTGTGGGGCACCACAGATCCCAAATTCAAATTTTGGGGCACCATAGCTCCCAAATTCAAATTTTGGGGCCCCACAGATCCCAAATCTCCATTTACTGAATTGACATTTTCCCGAATGGACATTACATGAATGGACATTACATGTCCCATTAGTTAACATGCCCCTATAATTAACATGTCCCAGTAGTTCACCTGTCTCAGTAATTGACATGTCCCAATAGTTGACATGTCCCAATAGTTGACATGTCCATATAGTTGACATGTCCCTATAGTTGACATGTCCCTATAGTTGACATGTCTTAATAGTGGACATTATCGAATGGACAGTTTACCTAATGTTTTTGTTTGTGAATCAAAAAAGATAAATGATAGAAGAAAGACCTCCACTCCACAGTCACTCTTTCTTTTTTCTTTCATTTACCTTTTTGAATTTTGATTTTGCCAATTTTTGATTTTCTTCGAATTTACTGTCTGGGGGAGAATTAATTTATAGAAATTAATATTTTATAATTTATAATTAATTTATAATAAAAATTTTGCTAAATAAATAAAATTTAATAGTACATAAAATTTATAAAATAAATTTTATTATTTATTTTTAAATTATTTATTTTTGATTTATTTTTTTTTAATTAAAATTTAAAGCGCCACGAAACCCTAGATGTAGGCACAATTGCGCCTAGTTCTTTTCCTATTTTTTACTTTTGACGAAGAAAAGACATGTTCAAGTGCGTGAGTACTTTTTTTGAGTTGAATGATTTCTGGTAATTTTTCAATATCATCAACTCCATTCTGTAAAGTATGGCCAAGGCAGCGAACTACAAGGACTCCTAAAAGGTCAGCGGCCAAAGAAATATTTCCCCCATTATCTACTGTGATACTCAAGACCTTTTGAATATCAATACCCCATTCTTTCAGCAACTCCAGCTTCCAATCTTTTATGTTGATCCCAGTGTAATCAACATTTAATTACTTACAGCACAAAGTATAACTGTGCAGTTTTCACTCTTGATCAAATGAACAGTTAGATCCATATATGGTTCACATGCACTTGATGTCTACGCGTCAGTAGTGAAAGGGACAGAATCAGCATCATGAACTGTACACTGGATAAACTTTATTGTCGAATTATATAGATTGACTAAGTGATTATCTGTTAAAGTCTTCCTCCCACAATGATCATATCCTGATCTAAAGGATCGCAGCATCTGTCTGAAAGACTCGTCTTCCACAAGATTTTATGGTTGATGTGCAGATAAAATAAACCACTGCCTTGTACAGCTTTGAAGCTGATTTAGTTTCAAAAAGCTTTAAAAAGACCAAGTGTACCTTGCTGCTTTCCTGCAGCCTTCTTTTGCATAGTTCTGTACAAAAATAATTAAAAATAATCATAAATGATTATGATACATAATGGAAAATTAGTTTGAATTTTTTACGCGTTTTTCTTGATTTTGAACAATTTTTTTAAAAAAATAAAAATTTTTTTTAAAATAATAGAGTAGGTGTACAAATTGTCGATGATTTTAGACAACTTGTGACTTTGATATTTTTTTCTCAGGAGTAAATGTAATTAAAAATTTGAATTTTGCGCAGTTGGACGAAGAATTTAATAATGTTTAATATTCCTATTTATTTTTCTAAAATAAATTATAGTGTTAATTAAAAATTGTTTTTAAATGTAAATTGAGCAAAATCACCATTTGTCGATGGTCGTGTACCAATTTCTCCATGTTCGGTTCCAATTCTCAACGGTATTTTGAATTTTTTTAACATATAACCTGACAATTAATGAATTAACCTTTACCGGTATTTACAAAATCGAATAAATATTTTTTTTTAAAATAAATATATTATAAAACATTGTCATGAAACAATTTTACGTATTTAATTGTAAGTTTATAGTATATACAAAAAATAACTAACCTGTAAAACTTTTGCATCACTGACGTTTAATAATCAAAAACTTAACCAACTTTATTTTGCATTTTTATCGTTCGAAGCATCGACAAATTGTACATCAGCTAAAAAACTGACTGCACTAATTTTCGAGTCAATACCTTGAAAAATGGAGCTGAGATAAACTATGGAACCCGATACCGATGATTTGCTTTTAAAAAATATAAAAAATTTATTTTAACAAATATATTTATATAAAAACTTAATACAGTTCTTCTACAATGATATAGTAATAATTTAATACGAAAAAAGTAATTAGAAATACATTTAATTTGTATTTTTATAATTCAACTCCCATCAACTTGAAGTATTAAGAAAATGTCGAATCGAGTAAATTTGACAGCAGTGAATTATAATTATAAAAGAATAATTATTATAGTGCCATCGATATGAAATTTAATTGGGTAAATATGTAATTGGAAATGTAAGGTTAATTTACAAATTATTTTGGTTTTTAAATTTTCCACAATATACTATTTATCGTAAAAAGAAAATTACTACCATCGACAATTGGTGCACCATCGGTAACTGGTACACTTACCCTACAAAATTCTAAAATGGGTAAAAATTATTTTTCTTTAATTTTTTAAAGTAACAAATTATTTTAAAATGAAAATAATTTTAATTTTTCTGTAATTTTTAATATTTTTCATCGGTACTTTTTTAAAATAGTTTTTTTATGTTCTCGAACAATTAATCGTGTAGATTTTCAAAATTATTCGTTTTTTATAAAAATAAAATTCTAAAATGGTGAAAATTTTTTTTTAATTTAACTAAAATAAATTAATTTAACCTCAAAATATACCTTGAAAAATATCATCGTTAGTCAACGTCGTAAATTTAGATAGGTTAGAATTTTACTGCTCACTCTCCTTAAATAAGTTTTCAAAAAGTATTTTTTTGTAAATAGGCCAAACAACTATAAATGATAATATATATTGTAGATTAGTATTTTATCCAATCTTTTTTCTACTTACGTTGAAGAAATGGAACTAGCTTTAGTAACTGGTGACAACAATGAATTTGATTTCGGAGGACTCAGAGGACAAACTATTGAAAGTGTTGGCGAAGGTGAAGGTCGTGTAGGACATGTTAGTGAGTGCTGGCTATCACTATCTTCATCAATGCTTGAAGTATAAAAAGTTTAGCCAAAATTATTTGGCACAGGAATTCTGTTTTACATAATATAAGGTGAATTGATTCGTTTTCATATGATTCTTAACATTTAAAGTATCTCCTCCTGTTCTGACTGTTTTGATACATATTTTTCATTTTGCTATCGATTTGTCGATGGAATCAAAAAATGTCCCCCACTGACTACTGTTTGCTCTATTAGTCATGTTATATTTTTGATAAAATCAAGGTTAACGTTAACGGTCTAAGAAACAAAAACATTTTAAGTACTAAAAAAGGAAGAAAATTTTATATTTACTTTATTCTCGAAATATTTATTTTTTTCAAATGCCAGTTTTTGGACTTTAAAACATTTATTTGTGATATAAAAATTAATTGCATTATATTACTTTTTGGAATTATTAATTCTTTCATGAATTTTTCTATTTATTAATTCTTTTTTATGCCATTTAATTATTTTCTAATTTTAAGGTTCGAAAATATTTACTTATATTTAGGCATATTATCAATATTTTTTATTAACTACCTTCAAAGAAAAAAAAAGGTTGACGATAAAACAGGTCAGGTTAGAATGTACGCATGGCACATCTTAACATCCAGAAATTTACACTACGTAAAAGAAAGAAAATCTAAATTCCACTTACTTGAAAAACGAAGTCGACAGTCCAAAAATCCAAAAAAATTTGAAACAAAAAGAACAAGGTACAGTGGCAACAACGGTAGTCTCTCGATGTCTTAACTTCCGTCAGCTATTTTGCTACTTTTAGGCAGGCGTAAGCAGGATATATCGAATGTACGATACAGCAGTCGAATAACCGGTATTTATCGAAAAACCGATTTAAAGAAAACCGGTACTTCAGATAAAACCGGTTTTATAAAAAAAGGGGGTACTTTTTATAAAACCGGTTTAAGAAAACTAGAAACCCGGACTTCATAACCGGAAACCGGTTTTAACAAATACCGAAAAAACAGGTATACCGGTTTACCGTACAAGCCTATCAAGACCTGTCTCTTAAAAATCCAAAACTGAATGAAACAGTATTTAAGCAAATGGTGTAAGGCAGTTTTTATATCTTCAATTTTAAAGTGCTGTACCGTAATAAATTTATTTACGTTTTTTAAATTCAAAATGAATTCATCATCCCCATTTGATTACGATCTTAAAAAGTATAAAGACAAAAATTGGTGCTTGGACGATTTGCACTTTAAAACTGCCCCTATACTCGAATTATAATTCGAATTCGTTGGTGGGAACTTCTTCTGGAGGGGGTTTCGAGTTTAAATGAGACTTTGAGCCGCTTGCTTAGGATGATTTACTCTTAGTGTCTTGGTTATTTTTAGCCGAGGGTTGCGTAGACTTGAAGATACCTTTTTCGGATTTCTCCACTTCTTTAGCTGATTTTAGCTATTCAGTTAATGTTTCTCCGGAAAGCCACATATCCACACATTTGACATCTGCTGTTGTTTTTAGTCTCAAAAGAAACGATGGAATTATGAATGACCTACGTCATCGACATCCCATGTTGAAGATCAGTCAACAATCTGCTCACATCATTGATAGATTCGAAAATAGTAGTAATATCTTTGCTGTCTATCCTATTGGAAATCCCTATACAAGATATTGTACAAGAAAATGTACTTGTTCAGCAGTTGAACTTTCAATTTTTAATTGGAGAGCTTGAGGAGTAATGCTCGAAATATGTAGTCATTTTTAAAAAATCTGAATGAAAAAAGTATCATTTCTTGACAACGAAATAGTTTTTAACAAATATGATTATCTGCAATGTTGTAGAATGGACTGTCGGGGAGACCGAGGCTAAATTTTAAATTTTCGAGAAATGTTATTTTTTAGGCAATAAAACCCATAAAATTCATTTATATGTCGATCTTTCTTGTAGGGTATGTAGTTCTCTACAATCTTTTATAATAAAATTCGTGATATTTCGACGAAAAATGTATTTTATATCCTTTTTTCTAAATTTTGTTTTTTACTTTTAGCCCCATGCTGCACAGTGGGAAAAAAAGGACCCTCTGTGGACAAAAATCTACCGACAACACAAATCTTAACCGATTTTAATATTTATTTTTTCTAAATACTCGGAGACGTTTTTCCTGTAACGCACAACTGCGATAAATTTGATTTATTTCAAACTAACCTTAAAAATGATACCTATATATGAAATTACGTTATTAGGATGGTTTAAAAAATGGAAAAATGATTAATTTTGATACAGCAGAGAGTATTGTGAACCCTTTTTGATCACTGAATGCGAATTTGACATTAAAAATGCAAAATTTTAAAATTCAAAATGGCGGATGCAATATGGCAGGCAATGTTTTATAAAAGTCACCAAATTCACTCGAAAGTTGTTATTCAGGGGTTTTTAAGGTCGCTGGTTACGAATCTGAAGTCAAATTTCAAAAATTCAAAATGGCGGATCCAATATGGCGGATAAGAAAATCAAAAACTAATTGGATTTGCTTGAAAGTTGTTACACGGGGGTTTTTTTGGGTCGCTGATTACGAATCCGATGTCACATTTCCAAAATTCAAAATGGTGGATCCAATATGGCGACCAAAAAAAATTTGAAATTCACTAGATTTGCTTAAAACTTGTTACTCGGGGGTTTTCGGGGTCGCTGATGACGAATCTGATGTTAAATTGTCAAAATTCAAAATAGCGGATATAAAATAAAAAATTAATAACTTTTTAAAAATTTGATCGCCATATTGGATCCGCCATTTTGAATTTTTGAAATTTGACTTCAGATTCGTAATCAGCGACCCTAAAAACCTCCAAGTAACAACTTTCATGCAAATTCAATGAGTTTTTAATTTTTTAATCCGCCATATTGGATCCGCAATTTTGAATTTTTGAAATCAGACTTCAGATTCGTAACCAGCGACCTTAAAAACCCCTGAATAACAACTTTCGAGTGAATTTGGTGACTTTTATAAAACATTGCCTGCCATATTGCATCCGCCATTTTGAATTTTAAAATTTTGCATTTTTAATGTCAAATTCGCATTCAGTGATCAAAAAGGGTTCACAATACTCTCTGCTGTATCAAAATTAATCATTTTTCCATTTTTTAAACCATCCTAATAACGTAATTTCATATATAGGTATCATTTTTAAGGTTAGTTTGAAATAAATCAAATTTATCGCAGTTGTGCGTTACAGGAAAAACGTCTCCGAGTATTTAGAAAAAATAAATATTAAAATCGGTTAAGATTTGTGTTGTCGGTAGATTTTTGTCCACAGAGGGTCATTTTTTTCCCACTGTGTGCTGGGGCTAAATGTTAAATTCTGGAGTTGGCAGTTAAATCGTATTTCTATCATTCTAAACTTCTTTTTGAGAAGTGTTGCCAAGTAAATAAGTTAACAAATGTAGAAAAAAATTAATTTAATAAATAGAATGTCCGTGTTTCAACTCCATTGATTATTTGAAATTTTCGCAATTTTTTAAGTGTTTGCTCGCACCTTTCGTGAAAGTTTTTATTGTGGACACGACCTTAGGTCTCTTTCTTCAGAGCTCGTTACAAATATAATTTGCGAAACATTGAACTCGATAGGCAACCAAAACATATCAGAAATATAAATAAAGCGAAGAAATGACATTTAACATTTTAACATTTTAATTTTTTAACATTCAGCCCCACGGCGTGTTTTTGACTTGAAAAACAGCTACACAAAATTTGACAGATAGTAATGTCCAAGATGACTTTTTTGTCAAAGAATTCGGAAAAACAAGAATTAATTCCTACGTTAAGAAAATATTGTCATCAATTTGATCTTCCGGGTGATAGTTTAGGATTTAATAAATTAGTACAACATACAATAGAAACAATTAACAATTCGTATTTCGAAGGCACTATCAGCCTTCATCTTGTGCCAGAATGCCAATTTAAAATTTGATGAGCGAAATGCTCCCAATTCTTCCGTATACTCTTTCACTATTAATTCCTCACTATATTTCTGTTCGAGGAAAGTATTCTTTCTTTTAACCTAACCTTTTAAGTACATCGAGAAACCAAAAGTTCCGTTTGTTACGTTTGCTTGAATGAACAAAAATAATAATAGCGAATCATCAACTGTGCGATACAAAAGATTTTGTATGCAAAAGTTTGAATTTAGAAATAGAAATCCAGGGGTGCTATTCTTGAACTGATTTTCGTGCACAGAACTTTGAATCGAATGGTTTAGACTAATCGTTGCAAAGATTTGACAAGCACTCACCAATCAGAAGTGTCGCAAAGTTTCGAGATATCGCATGGTGTTCAAGAATAAAGGGCCTGATATAAAGAGTTCAGTGATAGAAATAAAAATATATATGTACCTTTAATGTACGTAAATACATTTATACTTACCATATATATATTTGTAATATACGGAAAAATATGAAAATTTTCCAAAGAATAAAAAAATCGGTAGAATTAAGTAAAGAATCGGTAGATCAGTAGATGAAGTCGAAAATCAGTACATCTACTGATAAATCAGTAGGAGTGTCAACACTGACTGAATCACACACCACTACCCCACAGCAGCCAATCTTTACTAAAAATTCCGTAAAGATTTCCTTGAAATCTTGGGAATATTTAATTGCAAAGTTTAATGAAAATTGCATAAAGATTTAAATATCCCACCAAAATAAATATTTGGCGTAAAAATTGACTAAAAATTTAAATGAAATTTTCAGGAAATGTTCGTCGCAAAAATTGAGTAATAATTTAAATGAAATTTTCAGGAAATATTTTAATTCAATTTTTTTCAAAATAATTGAATTTTCAAAAATAATTAATTTTTAATGAATTTTAGTAAAATTTAAAAAAAAACGAATTTTTAAAGAATTGTAATTCAACATTTTGAAAATAATTAAATTTTACAAATTGTCACAAATAAATATATTACAAGCATTTTTTTCTGTCTATTTAGTCAATTTTATTTTGAATCGAAATATTAATTTTTAAAAAATTTTATTTCAACTTTAAAAACCATTTTGTAAAAGCCACAATCTTTCACAAAAAATAAAATATTTAAAAATTAATTTTTCATTAATTAATACATTTTTAATTATAATAAATAATTTTTGAATAATAATTTTGATTTAAATGTTTAAAAAATAGAATTTTTGTGTTCACTTTCATTTCTTATTTTAAATATATTGTAATTATTTTCTTAATTATTTTTAAAACGCTTTTTCTTGTCTTTAACAATACTAATATAATTGTTTATTAATAAATAAAAAATTTTAAAATTAATTTTCGCAAATTTGTGAATTTTTAATTAATAGATAATATTTTAAAAAATAATTAATTTTATAATAACCTTTTCACATGTGAATATTCAAATATCTCCGTGAAAACCTTTTTAAATGAGCCCGCCCTTTTAGGTCGATAACTAAGATTACTTTTCTATCAGCAAGTTGTAGAGCCTGTGGAAGATTTTTTATTCTCAGCCAGGTATCTGTAGTGTAGTGGTTAGGGTCTTTAGCTAGCGCGCGGCGAACGTAGGTTCAATCCCCAGCACCCCACAATTTGTTTTCAAAAGTTCTTGTTCAACAAGAATGCAGTGCTTGATTCAATGTGAAACAAAGCATCAAAGCAGAGCAAGAATGTTTGTATATTATTTATTTTATTTTTATTCCCAGATAGTAAATTTTTTTTATTGATAATAATAATAATGATCTATCTATCTTCTAAATAAAGATCTTCTAATAAAGATCTAATACTTCTTAAATATTATTTTTGTATTTTTTACATATATTTCCGACCAACATTTCCTGAAAATTTAATTTAAATTTTCAGGAAATGTTCGTCACAAAAATTGACTAAATATTTAAATTACATTTTCACTCAACTTTCGCTATAAATTTTTAATGAATATTTAATTTAAATGTTCAG